AGGGTGTGTTGGTGCCCCCCCCCCCCCCCCAGGACACAGCCTCCACCAACTGGCTGTAAACGGAGGCACATTCAGCACCACAGACTATACTTGAGGCAAAGGATGTCAAGTTGCATACTGGATTGTGGCTCTTGGTAGTTCGTGGAACGTGCCCTATTGAGCACTCGGAACCCCCCCCCCCCCCAGGAGCAGAGTCCGGAGGGCCCAGCAGCCGAGAGCTAGTTCCAGAAGAACCCGGGTGGGAATAGGGTCTTCAGGGAGACAGAGAGGGACCAAGAAGGGAAGAAGTCAAGAGGCCCAGCATCCCCACAGGTGGCTTAAAAGGCTGCCATGGCAAACAACATGGGAGATGGACCAGATTAAAGGAACACCCCAGGCAAGGACAGAGCACAGCAGTGGCATAGGTTCAAGGTGGTGAGCGTCACAAAGCTGGGGTGCGCCAAGGGCGGGCATCACTGTGGCAGCGCCTTCAGGATGGTGTTCACCTCCTCCGCGACAGCGGTCAGCGCAAACTCAAACTGGTCCTGGGGGCAAGGAGGCAATCGCTCAGAAGAGTTTATACACACAGAGATAACGACAGCAAGTGCCCACCTTCCCTGCTGTACATCCTTGGCCTCCCACCTGTGGTTACAGAGAATCCTCTCCCTCTACAACAACGTGGTTGGGGTTTGGAAAGCCACGAGGCCCTCCTGGCCGACTCCACTCCGATGCCTGGAGACCCAGCCCGGGCACCTCAGCTTCCAGATGTGCAAGGCCTCACAAAGCAAGATGCAGAGGTACCCCTTTGGAATAGGCCCTCTGGCCTTCCCTCTGCCACCTCTCTCCCCTGAGCTGTGGCACAAAACATGCTTAAAGTGGCCCCCGCGGAACCCAAGTGTTTGTACAGCAGGACTGGCACCGCTGATGCTTCAGTTTTTGTTGGGAAGGGGTACGCAGGGCTACAGCTCAGTCCAATACCTTAGTCTGCACCATGCCAGGCCGCTGATCACGCACATGCTCTAGGGTGGCTGCAATATCAATCTCCTTCACACCTAGCATCACGACAAGGAGAAAAATTAGAATTTTGCAGCGAGGAGAGAGATAAACCCACTAAACAGATAATGGGATGGAGGGTGGAGAACCCAAAAAAGTTGTGAGAGAGGACGGATGAAGTTGGAGGCTTCCAAGAATAATCAGAAGGGGTGCTGCCTGAGCAACGTATGGCCCTTGCAGAGTGGGGCAGACCAACGGATCCATCTTCCTCCCAACGTCCCAGCCAGGACTATTCCCCCCCCCTCACCTTTGGCCATTCGGTTCAGAACCATGTCAATGAGGATGTAAGTTCCAGTCCTCCCGGCACCATCACTGTAAGAGACAAGGAGACGTCACACTTGAGAAGATCAACAGTGTCAGGGCACAGAATACCCCTTTACCAGTATGGAAAAGGGGCAGCTGTTTATTTAGGTAAAGGTAAAGGTTCCCTTGCTCGAAAGCCAGTCGAATCCGACTCTAGGGTTGCGGTACTCATCTCCGTTTCAAAGCTGAAGAGCCAGCGCTGTCTAAAGACGTTTCCGTGGTCATGTGGCCGGCATGACTAAACACCAAGGCGCACGGAACGCTGTTCCCACCGAAGTGGTCCCTATTTATCTACTTGCAATTTCTTGCTTTCGAACTGCTAGGTTGGCAGGAGCTGGAACTGGAGACGGGGGCTCACTGACAATGTGGCACACTCGGGTCTCGAACTGCTGAACTACCGACCTTCCACAGCCTGCAGTTCAGCGTCTTAACCACTTGAGCCACCGCAGCTCCAGCTATTTATTTAGTTATTTATTTAATTTGTATCCCACCCTCCCCGCCGAAGCAGGCTTAGGGTGGCTCTCAAAAAATTCCATTACACAAATAATACAAAGAATTGGATAAAATGAATTATAAATATAAATATAAAACACAACAAAGCGCTAGTGCATATCGTATGATGATGGCGAGGCATCAGTAGCATACAGTACAGTCGGCAGGCAACTCAATCTGGGTTATATTGGCGTATGTAGGCTGTCGATGGTGGTATTCATGTTGCGGACAGGGACTCGGTTAAGTGCCTGATGGAGCGCTGTCTTGCAGGCCCTGCGGAACTGTAAATGGTCCCACAGGGCCCTGATGTGTTCTGGGAGTGCATTCCACCACTGAGAAGGCCCTGGCCCTTGTTGTAGCCAGCCTGGCTTTTCGAGGGCCCAGAAGGGTCGAATATTTTTGGGACCCTGATTGTAGTGCTCTCTGGGGAACGTATGGGGAAAGGCAGTCCCTCAAGTATGTAGGCCCCCTGACCATAAAGGGCTTTAAAGGTAAGAACCAGCACCTTGAAATGAATTCGGTAGGCTATAGGCAGCCAATGCAGTACTTTTAGTACAGGCTGGATGTGCTCCTGCATGGGAAGTCCCAGCAGCAGCCTGGCTGCCGCAGCTGTAGCTTCTGACTTTGAGACAAGGGCAGCCCTATGTAGAGAGCATTACAGTAATCCAATCCTGAGGTGACCATCATGTGGATCACTGTTGCCAAGTCATCACATTCGAGGAAGGGAACTAACTGCTTGATCAGGCGAAGGTGGTAGAAGGCTGACTTGGCAGTGGCTGCTACCTGGGTCTCCATTCTTAGGGAAGCATCCAAGAGCACTCCCAAGTGCCTAACTTCCGACGCTGGCACCAACGGTGTCCCATCGAAGGTCGGGAGTGGGATCCCTACCCTCGGGCCGCTCTGACTTACGCTCAGGACCTCCGTCTTCATCGGATTCAATCTCAGTCGGCTCAATCTAAGCCAGCCAGCCACAACTTGCAATGCCAGGTCCAGATCTTCTGGGCTAGGGTTAGACTGGCTGCCCAACAACAGATAGAGCTGGGCGTCAACCCCATATTGGTGACATCCCAGCCCATGCCCTTGGGCAATCTGGGCAAGGGGGCGCATGTGGGTGTTAAATAACATCAGGGAAAGCACCGCCCCTTGGGGCACTCTGCAGTTTAGGCAGATGCCTTCATGACAGCTGTTCCCCGAGTGCCACCCTTGGTCCCCGACCCCGGAGGAACAAGGAAAGCCACTGCAAGGCAGACCCCTGAATTCCAGTGTCAGGGAGGTGGTGGATCAGTAGTTGGTGGTCGACTGTGTTGAATGCCGCTGACAGGTCCAACAACAACACTGCCAAACCGCCCTGATCCAGATGCCTCTGAAGGTCGTCTGGGGGCGACCAGTGCCATCTCTGTCCCATGGCCTGGTCGGAAACCGGACTGGAAGGGATCCTCCCCAGACTATGCTGTTCCTTCTTGTGTTTTAAAGAAGAGATTTCCTCCACCACCACCCACCTCATACACAAACGGCAGTGAGACGAAAAGCCTGTGACTCCTCCTGTCACTGTGTCTTCAGGGTAAATCCCTTCCCCTCCCCAGCCCCCAGACAGCACATTCCCAAGCACTGTTCCATGACAACACCACAACCCAAGTGTGATCAGATGGAGTCTCTTTATCCTCCCCTTGCTAGGGCATTACCTGCAATGTACAATGATTGGGCACGAGCGACCCCGGTAGCATTTGTTCACCTTCCTGCTGGGACAAGGAGAGACGGGGGTCAGACAGTAGACACATTTCGAATCTCACTGGACTCCTGGGATGAAATATCTTCCCCCTCCCCACACAGCCAAGTCACACTGGGGTGGCTTTGAAGACAGGCCCCCAGCAGGCTCCTGAGGAGTTTCGTGCCAGGGAGAAGCAAAATAAGGACTTCCAGCTGTGAGATGTTTACTGCACACTGGAGCTGTAAGCATGCACCAGTTTGAAAACCACCCAGAAGACAGTCTCTCGCATGAACACAGCTGATGGGATGCTCTAAATGGCCCAGAAATGCAGGAGCATAAGTCATCCAGGACTACACAGAGACAAAATGCTGCTTTGAAAGACAAAATATCCTTCTCTGACCCCTCCCCAGATGGTGCCCTTATCAAAAAAGACAAGAAATGTAAAGCAACCCCCCCAGCCAGCCAACCATGATTAAATAGCCCAGATAACACCTTCATGTGTATATAGGTTCTCTAGGTATATTCCTTACCATGGGTCACATGATTTACAATATCATGATAGATAACTGAATGGGATCATGCAAGGAATTTTAATATGCACATTTGTAAGAAGAAGAAGAGATTGGATTTATACCCCGCCCTTCACTTTGCGTCTCAGAGCGGCTTACAAACTCCTTTCCCTTCCCCTCCCCACAACAGACACCCAGTGAGGTGGGTGGGGCTGAGAGAACTCTGACACAAACTGTTCTTTCAAGGACAGCTGTGCCAGAGCTTGTGACTGACCCAAGGTCACATCAGCAGGTGCAAGTGGAGGAGTGGGGAATCAAACCCGGTTCTCCCAGATTATAGTCCGCACACTTAACCACTACACCAAACTGGTAACAAAACAGTGCCTTCTATGGCTGGTGTCATAGTACAACATCATCCCAGCTCCTTGCTTTTTTTCATATCTTTCTTGTGCCCCTTCTTCACAGCTTCCCAGGTGTGTCTCAGAAGCCACACGCCTGATTCCTCATGTCCTGGGGGCAATGTGGGACTGATGCTGTCCTATTTGCTTGAGCTTAGTTATACGGGAGGGTTTTGTGGGCTGCAGACTTGTTACCAGGAGGTTGAACAGGTTTTTTCCAGTGAAGGAATTTCCTTTCCATAAACATTTATCCACCGTGTTGCAAATTATATGCACCGTGATAACCCTAATACACAGGAAAGTGCTGTTGAAGTTCTCAAGAGTTTTGCTGTAGGATGATGAAACATCAGAACCATTCCACTTAACAGTGCATCATTTAGGTGGTTCACCATTTTTGAGCACTGAAAACCTTAGTGTGGCAAACCAGATTCGAAGCCCTCATATTTCAGCCCTGTCCTGGGTAATTTGCAAGCGTCCACCTACCATACGTAATTGGTAGCTGGCAGTTAAAATATTTTTTTGCATATACTCCTATGATAAAAGGGATAGAGCCCTACATGCACTGCCTGCTGTAAAGCAGCAGTTTGCTTGGCAGGTAGTGAGCAAGGAACCCCCACCAGGCTGACACCACTTGCCATCTGTAAGAAACGGATTTTATCTGCGCGGTCACACAGTCAACATCTGCCTCCTGTCCCCAGCCATCGCTTTCCGGCTCAAAACCGCTTTAACCCGGAGTATTTTGATACCAGGTCCCCAAGTGGTGTTTCCCTGATTCTCCGGTTCCAGCCACACTTTTCTGACATCTGATTGCTCCTGCGGTGTCGAGCCACTTCCGGTTTAAACCCCCTCCCCGCTCGAAAGCTGCCCGAGGCTTCCGCTTTTTGCCCGCCATTTTTTAAAAGCGTTGTAAAGCATTGGCGGTGTGCACATAGGCGGAGGTCCGCCACCGCGTTATTAAAAACAATATTTAAACGGTGCCTAGTTTTAGCCTTTAGACGAGTTCGGAGGCCATTTTCGGGGTAAATGTTTAAAGGGAAGTGTTCCTTTAAAGTTTAAAGGGAAGTGTTACAGCAGTCAGGTTGAAGTGGAAATCGCTGTTCTGCACATGCGTGAAAATTTTAGTTGTACAGATGGCTGCCTGTGCGCATGCCCAAACTGAGAGAGAGAGAAAAACAACACCGACGCATGCTCCCGCGTGTGGACGGCGGGGAGCGATGTGGCTGTGCAGCGATCCGGAGCAAGGAGATGAGTGTGATCGCAATTCTCCAGGTTAAAAAACCCCACATAATTCTCCAGGTTAAAAAAAAAACGCATCAGGGCCGGAGCAATTTAAACCGCTCCCAGCACACCGTCTGACCGCACCCTAAGGGCCTCTGCTCATGGTTGCAGGGAGTCACGGGGGCTTTTCGCACAAGGAACAAGTCCCATAACACCAGCATACCTCCTGCTTGCGTATAACATCCACCACCCCCAGCACACCGTCTGACCGCACCCTAAGTGCCTCTGCTCATGGTTGCAGGGAGTCTTGGGGGCTTTTCGCACAAGTCCCATAACAACAGCATACCTCCTGCTTGCGTATAACATCCACCACCACCATGCATGGCACCCTTCCTCTCCAACTGAAGTATACGTGGAAGAGACTGGGAGGGGGGTGTAAATCCCCCCCGCCTGTTGGACAAGGGGATCAGAGGTGGGCAGCGGGTGGGGCACAACAGCCGCTTGGGCCCTGTCCTGTTCCATGCAGCCAGCACAGCAGCCAATGATCACTTTTGTGACTATGCAACTGGGCCAGGATTACTAGCTGCAAATCACAAAAATGACACTGGCGGCTGTGAAAGAGAGAGAGAAAAGGAAGGAAAGAAGCAAGGAGGGAGGGAGGAGTGGCAGTGAAGGAGAGAGAGCACACGGCATAATGCAGGCAGAGAGGAAAGAGCCAGGGAGCTCTACGGCGCACCGCTCTGCAACACAGCCTCACAGAGAAAGCAGCGTTGAGAGGGCAGGGATGGGAAGGGAGGGTTGGCCAAAGCCTCTCAGATTTCAGCTTGCAGAGTTCACAGGTACACTGGTCTTCCCACCTGCCACGCCCCCCAGTTTGTGGGGATAGCTCAGAAAATAATCTGAACCCTTGTCCTCCAAGGATAACCATGAAGGCTCTCTCCTTCCTAAAGTCTTCCACGCTTCCAGTCCTAAAAGAGTCCTTGAAATGCACAACGATCAACAGCAGCAACAAAAAACATTTTCACATATGTCGAAGATGCCTCCTGTAGGACGTCTTGGCATGACAGAGCCCCAAATGCACACCCAGTGCCATCCTCTACTACCACGCTTCAAAGTCAACAGGAGTCCCCCTTGCCTGGGTGAATGCAGAACAGAGGGAGAAGCTGGTTGGAGCACATGGAAGGGATATGACAGAGGGGATAAAACAGGTTAGAGTAATTCTGAAAGCAGGTTGCATTAAGGTAACACACCCTCCCCACAGGCTGTAAACAAAACGGCCTCAACTCCTCAAGCTCCTTGACAGTCTTTTCTGCTCCATTTAATGCAGTTTATCCACTGAACCAGATTGGACTTCAGCTAAACACACGGATCCCAATCAAGGCTGTATTGAGGCCACTGTATATTTCGATCCCCGGCTGTTGTTAGAAAGATGAGGCACCACGGCACAAATCTGCATAACTGACTTCATTTGCATAAAAGACATCTCATTTACTTTCGTGTGAGTGTTGAGTGAACCTGGATGGATAGCTGGGCGCCCCCCCCCCCCCCCCCCCCGCACCCAAAAAATAACCCAATGCAATTAGTCACAGTTGCATGGCTAAAAACACGTGCACTTCAAGAAAACCTGCCATGGTTGCATTTTTAAAATCAAACGTCAAAATAACCAGAAATTATTACATGTGATCTGAAACAAATGGGAGAAACCAGGGTTGCCAACATCCAGATGCGGCCTGGAGATCTCCCAGCATTACAACTGATCTCCAGCCCGCAAAGATCAGTTCCCCTGGAGAAAGTGGAGCTTTGGAGGATAGACTCAGTTCCATGATACCCCACTGAGGTCTCTTCCTTCTGCAAACACCACCTTCCCCAGGATC